TTGCAGGGGACGAAAAAGAAGAAAGAGTTGATAAAACCCATTCGAATTGAAGTGGATTATTTGATATTGGTAGAGAGAAAAAAACAAAAAAAAATGGGAAACACAGAGAAGCTGTTGAATCAGATCATGGACTTGAAATTCACATCGAAATCGCTGCAAAGGCAGGCAAGGAAGTGCGAGAAGGAAGAGAAATCGGAGAAATTGAAAGTGAAGAAGGCGATCGAGAAAGGAAACATGGACGGTGCTCGGATCTATGCTGAGAACGCCATTCGTAAGAGGACTGAACAGATGAATTACTTGAGGCTCTCCTCCAGGCTCGATGCCGTTGTCGCTAGGCTTGATACTCAGGCTAAGATGACCACCATTAACAAGTCCATGGCTTCTATTGTTAAGTCCCTCGAGTCTACTCTCGCTACTGGTAACTACTCTTATCTTTTCATTAATTAAGAGATTATAATTTGTTATCCTATTAGGGTTTTACTGATCAAACATCTTCTTTTCATTATTTATTTATTAGGTTAATAAAAGGGTTGGTTTTTTGTAGCCTTTTTTTTGTTGTTTTTTTTTATAAATTGAAGATATCTGTGATCTGCGGTGATGTTTTTTATCGTTCTTCGATACAGGTAATTTGCAGAAGATGTCGGAGACAATGGATCAGTTTGAGAAGCAGTTTGTGAACATGGAGGTACAGGCAGAGTTCATGGAGAGCGCAATGGCTGGTTCTACCTCACTGTCCACACCTGAGGGTGAGGTCAACAGCTTGATGCAACAGGTAGCTGATGACTATGGATTGGAGGTCTCTGTTGGGCTGCCACAGCCTGCTGCTCATGCAGTGGCAACCAGTTCGCAGGAGAAGGTGGGTGAGGATGATTTATCAAGGCGGCTTGCAGAGCTTAAGGCCAAAGGGTAAATTATGTGTTAGGATCTGATGATCTCAGGCGAATGTTCTCTATCGTTATACATCTATCTATATGGTGTTTTTACTGTGCCTCATTCCAAAAACATATCGTGTAAACTTGGCTTAATTGGGATTATAGTATTTGTTGACTCTTTTGTGTGTTGAATATGAATGGCTTATGCACCTGTTGAGTTGCATAACTTGTTGACCAGCAAATACTTTCTATACCTAGAGTATGAGATATGGTTTCAATCTTCAGATTATAAGTATGAGATGGTATGCTTTGTATGCATTTATGGTGAGATTGAATGTTGGGAGAACTTGGGTTTATATTCAGGTTTCATGAAGCAGGATCTCCATTTTTTTCCCCATAGTATGTTCATTTTATTTGTGAATTATGGTATTTGGCATGAACTAGGGCTCCGTGGCAGCTTGTCAAAGCCAACCCATATATACTAATTCGAAGTTCAAACTTCTGGGTGCCTTATTTTTTTTTTTTGGGTCATGGTGGAATACCCTGATATACTCGTTTGAACAGGGATACGAGATATCCTTGACTGTCTAACAAGGATACGAGAAATCCTTGACTCTCTTCTTTTACTACCATGTTGAGTTTGGATCGAAAAAACTTGAATGATTTTCTACTGTAAACCTCGGCAGAACATAGTTCTTGTGTGCAGCTATGGGAAGGTAGAAATTTTATCTGCGGTCTCATGCTCGCAATCCGTCTTTGCCTGATTGTTCTCAATCACTGGAGCAATGTCAATGTTACATTTCGTGGAATAATTCCAAAGGCAGCAACTTGATCTGAATACATGGATTCTAGGCCAAGGAGGACTTCCAATTTTCACAAGAAACCAAACCATGTTGACATATGCCATACCTGGTGAATGATTGAAGAAATCTGTTGGGGCAAAGGTGCCAATTCCGAGGAATGAATGATCTTGATAACAGGATAAGTATTAAGATTTCATGATGTGACCCAAATTTCGATATCCTTCAAGTTCACTACGTTGACTGAAATCTCTAACCTAGGATTCTCAACTTGGCCATTTTCAATAGTGAGTTTATGAATTCTATGCTGTTGTTGGAGGGGCGGGCAGCAGCTGCATTTCTAAGTTAGCACGAATTAAATTCAATCAGAGACTCAGAGAAGGAAAGGATATATGCAAAATCCAACATATATTCCTCTCGCGTTTGACTTGTTCTTACAAATCTTTGGGGCGTATAATTTATTATACATTGCTGAAACTCTTCATTCATTGTCGGCTGCAGCTGCTCCATGAAAATTGCCATCACAATCACACTCACATTCGCAGAGAGTGGATACAAATTCCTCCCCAGTAGTGCAAAACCAAGAAATGAAATGCATTGAAAAACTCACCTCCCAGAAAAGATTAAAATTATGATTACATAACTGAGTAACTGTGTCTCTGCTCCCACACTCTCCCATGTGTCTATGCGTCAGAAGCTGCACCTTCCCTAATACCCGATTCCTCGGTCAGACATCTTTGGTTTTCCCTTTCTCTCTGTCGCTCTTCCTCTCTATTTTATCTTCAAATGAACCACCCACAGTGTCCTTTTGATACAAGCTCGTCTCGTTTTCGCCTTGTTTTGAGCAATAAAGAGAGACCCTCTTCAGGTTATAGCGTTTTCAAGCCATAATTTAACAAAAAACTGAATCTTTTTACTGTTTCCCATCTCTCTCTGTTTATTATCCTAAACATAGAGAGACCCATTTGCCCGTTTGAGTTAAATATAGAAACCCTTATTACTGTTTTAGCGATCTAACAAGAACTCATCTTTTTTTTTTTTTCTCTTTTCTTTGCTGATACATGGGAGAATCTCTTGGGCCAATTCAGCAGTAGATCGCCTTTTGATTGATTTAATATTCATCTAACCCCTTTAGGTACTGTATTAGTTGGTGCCTTTTGCAATCGTGTGGTTGGCCTGGAAATGAATAGCTATGGAGAGGAAGAAGCACAAGCTACTTTTGAAATATGTGTTGTGGTTTCTAGGAGGAATGTCAAGAAGGAGGATGAGACTTGTGATTGTGTTGAGTTTCTTGTGAAGGAGTTGAGGAATGTGGGTTTATCGTTGAGAGAGTTCATGGCTTAACGTATGAGTTTATCAAGGTTTGCTTCTTTTTCTTCTTTTTTTTGTGCTTGTCTACTACATTTTTAATATCATTATACTAATTAATCAACTAATAAATGTGTGATCTTGCAATTGAATGCCTTTTTTTCTTCTTGTTCTACATAATTATGTACTGCCCTAGGACTCCTAGCAATTGCAAATCATTGGTATAAATATTGTTCTTTAACATATGCTAGGGGTTTGGGAGGTGGATAAGGCTATATTGTATTGGAGAAGTTTTACTACTTGGGCTATTTCGTGATTTCAAGATATGCTCATAACGATGCTTTATTGCACGTCAATATGATTGAAAAGTTGAGCATGGCTTCTCATTTAGAACTGCAATTGTGTTTCCCAGGCCCTTCATGAACTTGGCAATGCATGTAGTTCTAATTCATTTGACCGACCCGAGTAAATTGCAATTTTGATTATTCATAAGTTGGAATTCTAAGCTAACTAATTTTCATTTAGCTGGCAGCACCTCTGGAGACACTATAGAGAGCCGCATCATAGTTGCAAGTGAAGAAGCCAACTTATATTGATAATTGTAGGATGAGTCATGATGCTTTAAACTTGTCTTCCTGTTACATCATTGTAATTAGATAAACCCAATATGCCATTTAAATTATTAGATTCAGGATCTTTTAGCATTTTTCTTAAACAAAACCTGTTTATATTGATTAACTACCTTACTTTAATTCATTTGATTGACTCGAGTAAATTATAATTTTTTTTATTAATATGAGTGTTCGGGTTAGTTTATGTATATCTCAACTAATTTTATGGGTCTTGAAATTAACAACTATGTAAGTTTCCAGTAGTCCTAAGGTTTGAGGGACTCAAACTAGTGATCTTTAGAAAATAAATTTAAAATCTAATAAGTTGAGTTACATCATTAGGTTAAACATTTTCATTTTCTATAAATTGGAATTCTAAACTAACTAATTTTCATTCAGCTGTCAGCACTTGTAGAGACACCAGGGAGGGCGGCAGCACGATTGCTTTAAAAACTTCAGTTACTAATTTTTCTCTTTGTTGTCTAACTTGTATTGAAGTCAATGTCATTCTTTGGATGCCACGGTTAATTAGTGGGATTCCTCACTTGATCTCTTAGCAAATTAAATAAGAGAACAAGAATCGTGACGTTCAAGAATCTTGGCAAACATTTCTGCATATTTGTTGAAGTAGCTGTAGGTTCTAATAAATCCAAGTGCTTGCCAAAAGGCTTAATTTTCATTCCATGTAACAGCTATTTATAATATAATCCCCGTATCAGAGGTTAAAGAGGAGAGAATACAATCAATGATTTACAGGATGATTTAAGGGAGATAGCTGTTCTGGAAATCTCATTACTCCCACCATCACGTTGGAGCGTGTAGATTAGATAAACCTCATCTTGTCTAGGATATGATAGAATGCCTCTCCGCCAAGAGGTTCGGTGAAGATGTCATCTAATTGAGAAGATGTTATGTGCATGGGCACTACTTCCCTACAATGCCGAGCCTCCAACTTCCACGTCTCTTGGAGAACTGGTCAAGGGGGAGGTGCCCAGTCCTATATCACAGATGCATCGCATTCTTCGAGAGGATGTTTGAAGGACAATCATGCCTGTGTAACAAGCAGCCAAGCAACGTCTGCTTTCTCCTCGCAAGAAGGGATGCTGCTCCAAGCGCTTTAGAACCACTATTAGACTTGTCAACAAAAGTTTTGCGGCTTTTAAAACAAACATGGCTTGTTCAGATGCATGAGCGCATCCATGTCACCGAGATTAGCACAATCCCTCAACTCTGATGAATGATCACAGTACAGTACGGTTTCTATAGAACAAAATGAACGAGTAGCTGGAAATGATATCGGAAGTTAGCAATATTGATGTAACTAGAAGGTGTAGCGTCATATAGCTTCAAATTGTTCCTCAAAACTTAACTATGAGAGGGAAATTTAAGCATTCTGATAAAGATAAACCTGTAGCACGTGATTTGACAGGATATTTTAACTTGAATAACACGTCATATTTACAACAGAAACAATACAGAGAGTTGTCCTGAAAATTTTCATCGCTTGTAACGAGAAATTTATATTATTTATGAAGTCAGCTAAAAAGTGCCTTACAATTCATCATGATCATTTTCCTCAGGCAATGTAACTTCTGGTTGAAATTCAAGAAGATACCTAGCAGCCAATGATGCGTGAAGTGCAGCGCCATAAGGAAGCACATCTTCATTGATTTCAAAGTAAGGTGAGTGTGGGGATTGAAGTTGCTTGTGTGTCTCATTCTGCATTCCAATAAAGAAGAAATATCCTGGTATCATCTCTTGGTAAAATGCAAAATCCTCAGATCCCATCAATGGTTGCATGTCTTTAACTTTGTCAATGCCCAGCAAATCACTAGCAACAATTCGGAAGTAATTGTGCAAGTATTTATCATTTATGGTAGGAGGGAAAAAGGGTTTTTCATTCTCAAGGAAATTAATAACTGCTTTGCACCGTTGTACTGCAGCTTGCCCTGTGACAACCTGTAATTAAAGAGAAACAGGACTGGTCATGGTGAAATATAAGGAAGCAAATGGTAAAACTGCATAGAAGTTTGAGAATACAACAGAAAAGAATACTACCAAGTTAAATTTTTGTCACTGAGATAAAGAAGGAAAACCATTTTTAGTTACAAAGACAAAGCATGGAAAAAAGATCACAGATCCAAAAGGCTGGACAAGATTTTTGTCCACAAAAAATGAAACAAGAAATTCAATACAACTTTTTCAGACATAGTTATATTTGCTCATAATTCAACAGCAATACCTCCTCAATACGGTGCCTAAGCTGCATAAAGCTTTCCTTTAAAAAGGCTCGGAAGGTGCCACCAATTGTAACAGAATCTGGAATAACATTGAATGCACCACCTCCTTGGAATTTTGCAACTGTCACCACCTGCATGTTAACTTCAAATTAAACAGTGCCAAAATATAAAAAGTGAATAAGAATGAATAACAATGTTCAATCGCTTCAACAAGCCGAGCATTGTTCCTATCTGCTAACAGAAAGTCTCTTTTTTCAGTGATATAAAAAAGAAACTGATGCACCAATCAGATTAAATTACTTACCTTTCTCAATCTTTTTCATTCATCATCCAAATCTGAATCACAAAATAGCATACATATAGTAGACATAGGAACAAGTCATGTAATTCTATATTCTATTCTCATTTACTATTGTGATAATCAGCGCAGCGCAGCTTGATGGCATGATAAAAATTAGGTTTCTCAAACTAATTGATTAACAATTAATTAGTTTTAAGCTGGCCACATTTGAACAAAAGATGAGGTACTTTTCAGAATCACAATAATAACTGTAAAAGACAAAAATATCCAAAACATCTTGATACCAGTGAAAACAGAACTCTTCTCATCTAAAGAGCTTCAACATTGCAAGAAAAACCAAGCCATGTTCAAGCACAACAAGGTGGTAAATTAACCCTCTAATGAAAAGCACAGAAGCAATCCTCAAAAATAAAATGCTTTGTAGAATTATAGCATGAAGCAAAAACAGAGGAACTTAAAACAAAAATTATACTGTTTCTCAATAAGATTATGAAAAACAAATGAAAAGGCATTAAGAGTTAGAGTTGATGTAATGTGAAGAAAACAAAATGTGCACCTGGGAGTCCAGTGGATCAGCTTCACGTGAAACAAGGTGTTGTAAGCTAACTATCACATTGGAAGCTGCCAGTATTGGATCTATTGAATGCTGAGGAATGGCAGCATGACCTCCTTTTCCACTTATTACTGCTTCAAAGAATCCACTCCCAGCCAGTAGAGGACCGTGTCTGGAGGCCACTTCACCTATTGGTAACTTATTGGTAACATGCAAGCCAAATATAGCATTAACATTCTCTAATGCTCCTTCATCAATCATTTTCTTTGCACCACCACCTCCTTCCTCTGCTGGTTGGAAGATTAGAACAACTGTGCCCTAATAGAACAAAGAAAATTGGAGGAAGCATAAGAAAGAGAACCACAAAGCTCCTGTTCTCTTAGAATTTTGAGAGCTGAAGAGGTCTCAAAGAATAGCAAAGAGAGGGACTAGCACAGGGTCTGAAACCAAATAGCAGCCCGTCCTGGCCTAGTAGTTTAACAGCATATCTCATTAGGTAGTGATGCGGTACAAAAACCTAAAGAAAACTAGAAGCAGAGAAATAAAGAAGAAAGCCAAGAATTAAAAGTAGGGAAAAAAAAGCTAGGATGAAGAATAGAAAATGTAAAATAAAATATATAAATAGCATAACCTTAAAATACTCAACTACTGGGCTCAGCCTATCAATTAAAATTGTCTAACATAAATAACCCGAATAAATAAAATAAAAACAATGAAAAAGACCTGGATGGGCTTGAATCTAACCAAAAAGTGACAAGCCGGGTCATCTTTTATCATCTCAGTCCATATACTCATGTAATTTACAGTGTGAGTCAGGGGCCCCCACCAGGTAGCTTCCAAATTCCACCAGAGTAAAGGTTTTGGGGTATAGGGGTATATACAGCAAATACTGTTGTGAATGGCCATCTATGGCGGACGAAACAATATCTGAACTTTAACAGAGAGCTTAGTGTCATTATCTGTTAGCTGGAAAGTATTATTGGCATGTTTAAGCTACTTCTTCAAGGAATTTCAATCGAGCTCTTACCAAAAATGCAGATCCACTTCGAATACTGCATGGTATTCTTTCTTTGTACACCTAACGGCTTGCTTCAATGAGTACTTTAAGTAAAAGAATAGAAAATGTAAAATCATAAAGACAGTGCTGCCACCACCTCCACATATTATTTCAGTATAATTTGTCTCCATGAAAATGCAAAATGCAGGGCCTGAAGCTAAAAATTTGCTCAATCCCCCCAAAGAAAATTTTACCGAGGCCCTCATGAAGATGAAAATTTACCCCCTTTCACCCCTAACATGCTTTTTGAACATGTTTAGCTCTTCTATCCAAAAGTTTAGCCCCTCTCAAAGATTAAAGTTTTCCCCTTTTATCCAAATAATGTAAATGAAAACATGCTTGGATCTTCCTTCCCCAGAAGACGAAAAATTTAGCCCGGAAAAACTTCAGCATGGGACTCTAAAACTAGCAGCAGAGCCAGCCATAAATGCATGAAGCTAATCTGGTTGTGGAAAGAAAGTATTGGAATTGCTAGCCATGGCATAATAAAAAAAATTCTTAGTGATTAATAAATTGGTCTTTAGAAAAGCCAACTGACTCACTACAAAGAGCAAGCTTTGTACCAAGTTGCAGGCAATGAGATTTGAAGAGAATTGTAACAAGTAGACCAAGAGATGAGCTAACATTTCTCTATAATTAGTTGTACCAAAAAACCAAGCTAGAAAAGTTAGCTATCTGAACTGACATCAACTTAGTATACATAGGCAGACTTGGTTCATTTTGTTAGTGCGCTGCATGTGTGTTGTTATGTGTATAACAAGTGAGAGCTCCTTGTGTGTGCACCATGTAATTTTAAGAACGTGCACCAGAGGACGAGAGGATAAGCATGCCTCCAAAAATTAGTGATGTGTGTGTGGAGAAAAAATGAAGTGAGTTTGGTCGTGTAGGCATCAATGTTGTCAAAATAAATAAAAAAATTCATCCAGATCATTTTAGGTTCTAATGACTTCAGATCATGAAAACATACGAGTTCACCTACCATGCAAAAGCCTAATATCAAATACAAAAAATAAAAACATAAAGAGTTCTAACAAAATTTAATGATGTTATTACTTTAAAAAGACCAAAATCATGTGTAAATACATAGTTAAATACAAAGTTCACATAAACTATTAATGCTTAAATAAAACATAGAATCTGTCCCCAAAAGATAGAACTGCAGAAGTTCAAAGTGATATTAACTCACACGCATAATGTTTCATTTAAAAGGTAATTAACAGTAATTTACCATAAAACAAATCTATTTAAATAAAAGACTTCGCAAATTTATTGCAGCACTATGGAGATTGGAGGGTAAATAAACATGCAGGAAAAGCTATAAAATGTATTTGCTATTTGTTGTGTTCTTTTCAATTACATTAAGGGTTAAGCTATTCCTACTTCTCTTATTATTATTCCCACTCCAAAGTTCTATGGACAGACAAACTAATCCTATTTAGAGTGTCTTTCTTTACATTTAAATTTCATAATATTTTAAACATCATAATTTTTTATAATGAAAATGTCTTTTCAATAAAATAAAAATTGTTAATATGCTATAAGTATGTTGATGATACAAAGTACTGTCATATGATACCAGCAAAATAAACATAGTTTTTGCATGAGGATATATTACAAATACTAAAATGAAAATAAAATAAAATAACAATCCATTTTGTAATGAAATATCAATTCATGTAAAATATATATATATATACACCTAATCAGCAATGTCATTGAGATACAATTTTAAATTTAGCATTTAATAAATTTCATAATATTTTAAACATCATAATTTTTTATAATGAAAATGTCTTTTCAATAAAATAAAAATTGTTAATATGCTATAAGTATGTTGATGATACAAAATACTGTCATATGATACCAGCAATATAAACATAGTTTTTGCATGAGGATATATTACAAATAATAAAATGAAAATAAAATAAAATAACAATCCACTTTGTAATGAAATATCAATTCATGTAAAAAAATATATATACTTAATCAACAATGTCATTGAGATACAATTTTAAATTTAGCATTTAATTTATTGTTTTTTGTATTATGTTAGGAAGTCTTTTATTCTTACTAATCCTTAAACTTCAATTTTAAGAAATAATATAGATAGGGATAGTTTAGTCACTAATAGAAGTCAAGAAGTGAAAATAACAATAAAAGGAGTGGGAATACCGCTTTTAGTCCTCTATTTTCTATAAAAGTATATCAAGAGATAGCATAACCTGAATACCTGATTGGGAAATAGATATACAAATAAAAATATAAGAAATGAAGCAAAGAGTGCTTTTCGTATGATATCACTTAAGTTAACTATAGAAACTTGCGTTAAGGATAGAAACAACAAAAACTAGAGCAAGGCAACACGTGCAAACTTTAAAAAGTAGCTCAATCAACATGGAAATGGGCCAAAAAGGGAACACTTTGAACTCATTAAAACCAGCCTATAACTCACATTACTATCAAGTTCAATGAGCTAGCAAGAGAGTCGCATACAATTTTGCTCATGATTAATTTTTTTTATCCATGTTAGCTCTGTTCTTTTTTTATGTTTGGCAAATAAAAGCATGAGATTTTACAATTTGAAACCTGTTTTTACCAACCATGGTGAGTGTTTTGTGTGGCACTTGTGTTTTGCTCTTCTCCAATATAATAAGCCAAAGCAAATGAAGTAAATTGCTAGGTCATTTGCTCCCAAAGTCTGCTACTTGTTTTGTAGAGTAACTTAGAATTCCTTCTTTCTTTCTTCTTCTCCTCTTCTTCTCTCTCTCTCTCTCTCTCTTTTTCCATGAATGAAAGGAGTTTAGAATTCCATGGGAAGATAGATCAATTTCTGACACAATGGAAATTAAATGGATGAATTATGCAGCAAAGTAGAAAATCTTCAATTAAACATAGCTCTGCTGGGTAGTGGATCCAGTTTCAACAACTCCGGTGTTGAGGAAAAAAAGGACATTGAAGAACAATGTGTGAATGACTGCACAAATATTCAGGAAAAAGATTCTGCTATTGCTAAAAAAACTTAGCATAACACTTGAAATTGTCAGGATTTAAGAGCGCTACAGGATAATAATTTGAGCATATATAACATCAGTAAAAGCAAGCCCAAACAAAACAACAAACCTTCAACTCTTCACGATGGTCTTGAAGGATCTTTGCAGCACCAAGAAGCATTGCAACATGAGAATCATGACCACAAGCATGCATCTTCCCAGGAACTTTGCTCTTGTACTCCCACTCCACCATTTCCTGTCATTCAAGTACCCATGAATCAATTCCCGTGGAACTTTATTTCACCAATTACAAAAGGGTCAATTGAATCCAAACTAAAAGTACACCATGCTGTGCGTAAATGGTTGTCACTCTAGAAAACCAATATAATTAATGAAGGTAACAAATTTCGACAGAAATATTTAAGTCAACTTACAGAAAATTAGAAAATCAACAAAAACTGATCCCAGTTAAAAAAATAAAAAGAAAAAGAAGAATAAAACAGCCAGCAACTAGATCTCACCCTTCTGGGATACATTCTCAAATTCAATTAAAACTCATTTCAATGAAATCCAACTTGCAGCAACTGAAAAGTTAAATAAAAAAAACTTTCTAAATTCAATTAAAACTCATTTCAATGAAATAAAAGATAGAATTGAATATATATTATCATTCCTACAAGAATCAAACTGATTTAACACAATTAGACTAACAAAACGAAGTAAAAAAAATACAAAAATCAAGTTAAACCAAACCTGCATAGCAAGAGCATCCATATCTGCCCTTAATGCAACAAAAGGAGGTTTACCAGACCCAATAAAGCCAACAACACCAGTAACTGAAAGTGGGTGTTTATATTTAACACCTATCTTATCCAATTCTGCTCTAATAAGCTTACTAGTCTCAAATTCCTCAAAACCCAGTTCAGGATTCTCATGTATCTTTCTCCTTACCCCTACCATCCAATCAAATAGCTCTTCTTTTTTGGCATAATTGAGAAACCTTGAAGGGATATCTGATGACCCCTTTAAGCTTAAAATTGGACTCAACAAATACAAAAAAAACCCCAAAGAAACCCAGTTAAACAAACTCATGGTTTTGTTTCTCAAAACCAAGAATGCTTGTTGATTGTAAATTTTGAATTTTCTTTGAGGGCAAAGAAAAAGAACAGATTTTAATGAAAGAAGCGAGGCCTAGATTTATATGGTACAGGAAGTAAAACAAGCAAACGATGGTGTTGCGTGATGTTTGAAAAGCTCAAGAAGGTGTGAGGAAATTGAGGACAAAGAAAGTTGTTTTGGAATATTAGTGGGCGTAGTAGCAGCGGTTGCGGTGATGAGATGCTTCTCTGACTCCACATGACAAATTTATCAGGCCAATAATCCATGTGCTGATTTTCAATATGTGTATTTTCTTTTTCTTTTTTCACGAGAAAGAGAGAGACAAGCCAATTTTCACACGTTTCTATGACTTTGCATGTGCACTGTTGAGTAACGGAAAATGACATAAAATAAAATAAAAAATTAACAAGGTATTGCAATCAAATAAATAATTAATAATAGCAGTTTATTTTATATTTTAAAAGTGATTTTAAAAAATTTTAATTTTTTAATTTTAAATTAATTTTTTAAAAATAATATGTGTTGATATCATAAATAAATTTTAAAAAATAAAAAAATTATTTTTATATACTTTTAAATAAAAACATTTTAAAAAATAATAGCTAATATAATATCAAGCAGACTCCAACTTATATATTGACATGTAGATTGTTACTTAGATTTGTGCATGTGCTACAAATCTATATTTTTTTTTATAATACTATAAATATATTTTAAATAAAAAATTAATAATTTAAATTATAGTCCTGATCGGATTTAATAAGGTAATTTTATTTTAATTATACTAAAAAATAAATAACAATAATATAAATAGAATTAAAAAAATAATCACAATAACCTAGTAATTAAAAACCAATTTGAGTCAACTTGTGATAATATGATAAATATATAATTTTGATAAGAAGAGGTGAATCAACCTAAATTAACTTACAAAACTTGTGGTCTATGTTATAAAATTGAGATAATCTAATAAAACAAATTGATGAAAAACACAAAACTATTTTTAAAAAAAATATTAAAAGATTAAATTAAAAAAAGAAAATAAACAAAAAAAAATATCGACACACATTAACTTTTTAAATTCATGACCCGAGTCATTAGACTAAAAGCACCATACATGAAAAAACCATAAAACTTAATTTTAGACAAATCAAATATTGATGGATGAAATTGAAAACAAAAATAATTATACAAGAGGATAATAAAAAAATAGTAATTAGAAGAATGTGGATAAAAATAAAAATAGAAAATAAATTAGAGGGCAAATATAAATTTTTAATTGAAGAGTGAAATTAAAAAAAAAATAACTTCAACAAAATAAATCAAAAAATAAAAATTAAATTGAAAAAAATAATATATCATAATTTTAAATTGATGATGAAATTAAAAACCAATATAAATTATATAAAAAAATAACAATAAAATTATATTTAAATAATAAAATTAAAAAAAAAACTTTTAAAAAAAACCAAAGACAAATATTAGAAACTAAAAAAAACTTGGCCGAAATCCCAAAGCAAAACAAATTAAAAGTTAGCTTTGAAATTTGGATGGTTAGGCGTGAAAATCTTGGAAAAGAAAAAAAAAAGATAAAAAGAAAGAATTGTCAATGTTATACTAAAAATCTATTCAAGACACGTGCCAAGATAGGGGTGAAGGGGCCCCAAGATAATTTAACCATCACTCTAAAAGCCATAGTGCAGCCAGCAGCCATATGAACGTTGCTACAAACTCCGCGACATAACGACCCTTCACATGGGCATTTCAATAACAATAATAATAATAATAATAATAATAATTAAAATACCTTATTACTCTCCCAGTTAAGCCAAATTTTTATGTTATGATGGTATAATATTGAAAAAAAAAAAAACGTTCAGCTATCAAATCAATTGATTAACTAAAGTTATTTTATTCTAAATTTTTTAATAATTATTAATTAATCAATTAAGTTAATAATTAAATCCTATTAAAATTTGAATTAATTAAAACTAATCTATTAAAAAATCCTATTAAAATTTAAAAGGACTAAAATTAATTATTTTTATTAATAAGTATTATAATTATTAATTAACCTAAGGAAATTTAAATTGATTATAACTAATCTAACCATAATTATTAATTAACATATTAAATTAAGGAGTCCTATTAAATTTAAAATTGAATACAACTATTCATTTTAACCGATAATTATCATAAATATTAACCTAATAGATTAAGGAATCCTATGAAAATTTAGAATAACTACAACTAATCATTTTCATTATAATTGTCATAATTATTAATTAAAGGAATCCAATACAATTAAGATTTACCAATCATTTTCATTGATAATTCTTATAATAATTGATAATAAAATAAAATTAATAAATCAATTATTTTAATTTGTAAAGGATAAATACTTTTTAATTTGTTTTTGAATTGAACAAAAAAAAATATTTTAATAGGTTATGATGTTCACAACCGTATAACCTATTGAATTGTAATGTGTTTCCAACATCACTTACCCCATTAACTTTATTATTTCTTTAAATATTTTTTTAAACATGGTATCTTACATCAAAAATTATTAACTATGCTATTTTCTAAAAAAAAATCTCATTTTTTGTCACTAGTGATTCTACTAAAAAAATAGCTATGAGATTTTGGCTTTATTTTCAAAAGTATCCTTCATCTAGTGATGGTGTAACCTCGACTGGTATTTTCAGAGATTTTTTGGAATACAAAAATTAAAACCGGGAATAAAATGGTTAGTGGAAAAAAAAATATATAGAATAAGAAAATATTAAATAAATTCTGAAGAGGTATTACAAGTTTGAAAACTTTTGTTTACAATGACAGATTTAAAACCAAGTGGAGATAGGATATCCAATTAAATAGAAAACACCAAACAAGTCCTTGTTTTAATGCTGTAAATAATGGAATATAGAGCCACATAAATAGCAAACAGGCTTCCAAAGAAAGCTAAGATTGTGGAACCACCTTCCAAAGAGGGGGGAGACTTTTTTTATTTTCTCTTGATTTTTTTTCATCAAATTCTTTAAAGAGCTTGAGATTGAGGAATGGTTATAAGGGTTAATTAGTAGATTTCAAACACTTAAGCAAGGATTTAAAGCTTCGAAAGCTAGGGTTTTAGAGAAGTTGAGGGAGGAAAAGAGAAGTGAAGAAAAAACTTGACTTTCATTGTATTTTTTCTTGTTTTAGTAGCCATTTAAGATAATAAACTCAACTCGAATGATTATAACTATGTAAATCATTGAGTGTGTTAGTGTCAAATAGAATTTGAAATTGTAAAAATTGATTGTATATTATATTATTTGATAATGAGATAATATTAGCAGATATGAGAAATGATAAAGTAACTTTTCAATTAAAAGAATTGAAGAGAAAGATTCGTCTTCTTGCCTATGGAATTTTCGGCGTAGCTAAAAAAATGGGGAAGTTGAGATTTTTTGATAAAATTGTTATGAAACTTATATGTAAATGTGTTGATACGAGCAATTAATGCATAGGTAACACATGAATTGAAAAAAGAAAGTTTCACTTACCATGTGTGAAGGCATGCAGCTAAATAGAGAAGAAATGGGGAAATAAGAGTTTGATTAAGTTGATACATAAATCATGCTTGAATGTATTTATGTATATACATGGGTAATGTACTATGGTCATTCGATTAAAGCCAGTGAAAAAATAAAAATAAAATTTAATTCATTAGTCATATAGATGAATGTATTGAAGAAACATTAATAAATTTATAAATAATCTATTTAATTGATGAAACAAGATATGACAAAGCCATAAGAGATGGTAATTTGAGGAATAATTGGTTGGAAAACTAGAGATTTTTAGACATATGAATTTAAGTGATTTTGAAATTAAATGACTTATGAAAATATGATTTTGAACAAATTTCATGTGATGTTGTATGTTTTATAATATAAGAGAGATTATAATAATAGAACAACAACAACGATGTTGTATGTTTTATAATATAAGAGAGACTATAATAATAGGACAACAACAACAACAATAAGGTGATGCGTAAAAGGCACAGGTAACTAGTAAATATTAAGCATCTTGAAGTTGATTAAATTATATAACAATAAGTTTCTTAAATGTTATATATATTTTTAAAAGTTTTGTTTATAAAATATGGAGAAACTAGTTCTTTAATAATGGAGCTAGTGTCTAGTTTTGAGTGGAGGAACTAGTAACCAAGTAGTCGGCCTAATGCCTGTTTTTAGGCTGAAAAGCTAGTTACCTGGTAATATGACTAATGTACAGTTTTGAACAAAGAAATTAGTAACATGTAAGTAGAGTTAGTGCTTAGTTTTGGTGGAAAAACTAGTTGCCCAGGGGTTAGGGGTTAGTGCTCGAGAATTTAATCTAATGACATTGATTATTGATGATATGAATGTTTATGATTTGGCAATGTGGTTTGTTAGGACCATATGAATTGATTTGAAATTGTGATTTTTTTATTTGTCATATTTTGTTTGAGTGATACAAACCAAATCATGTGTAAATTTGATTTTAAAATATTTGCTTATCAATTTTGCAAAATCAAGTATATTTTTTAAACCTTACAACGGAAAGAGCTGAAAATTTATAAATAAATACTTGACATATAAAAATATATTGTGGTAAATTTAAAAAAAAAATAGAGTTCAAGAACATATTATTTTAGAGGGTTGAAGTTACAAGACAAATCTTGTCAAATCTGTGAGACTAAACCTTTGTGTATTATTTAGGATATATTTGGAGCTATAAGTAGAATTTTTCTGCTATTAAAGTTGGGTTAGAAACTAGAAATCTCATGATTTACAACCATATGTTGTACTTTTAGTAATTCATTCAAACAAGATATAACAATGTGTTTGAAGTCAAGACTAAAATTTATCATGAATGTATGAAAATTGTAGATTCAAGCTCCATAAAGAAATTTTAGCATAGAGACTTTGTTTTTATTATTTTATTTTATTTATTATTTATTTAATGTTGAATAATTATTTTTAATTTAGGTTTTTTTATCCCATTAGACATTGTTTAAGGGTTTATTTCATTATTAGATTTATGTTAATTGATTATTAGTTTAGGCCTATTGACTTGCAACCTAAAAAAAGTTTATTAGGGTTAGTTAAATGATAGTATATTATGTTTTTTTGAGCTGTAAATTTCAGCAAGAAGTTAAACAATAAATAGGAGGTTTTTTTTTGTTTGTTTATTGCAAAACAACCTTTCTTTGTAGAGATAAAGACCATACATTAATTTATCAA